CCAATTAAAGATTTAATAATTGCTCTTATTCAGTCCTTGTCTAAGAATAAACTCATTTCTCTACCGCCCAACGCTGCTTTTTTTGATAGTCAAGACATAGTTTCAAATCTTCATAATGGACACAGTAATTCAGTGGAATTGTAGAAGTGTAAATAGCAAAAAATCTGATTTAATTTATCTTATTAACAGATTTAATCCTTTTGTTGTCTCTATCCAAGAAACATGGCTTCGGCCTGGTTTTAACTTTAAACTTCCTGGTTTTGCATGTATCCGTGAAGACAGGCTAGGAAATGAAGTGGGCTCTGGTGTGGCCCTATTTATAAAAAATCATTTGTTTTTTAAACACATTCCCATTCCTAACCATAATACTGACTTTTCTATAATTGCTATAAATATTAATAATATCTGTTTTGTCTCTGTATATATTCCTTACCCCTCCTCTCTTATATATGATGAAATTGAAAATATTTTAAATAATCTTCCAAAACCCATTATATTCATGGGTGACTTCAATGCCCAACATACTTCTTGGGGTAGCTCTTCCTCAAATCACTATGGCAGTAGAATACTTGATATGTTACATACACATAACTTATGTTTATTAAATACTGGTAAACCTACACGTAGAACTCAATCTCATGAAGGAAATAGTGCTCCTGACTTATCAATTGTCTCTCCTAGTCTTGCCGTTTCCTTGACATGGACTACCCTAGACTCAACATTCGGTAGTGATCATTATCCTATTCTTATTTCCTTCCCAAATAATACTGTAAAAAGGCCACCCGAACGTTCACCCCGCATGAAATATAAATTAGACAAAAATAAATGGGATGATTTTAAAAAAAATATTGAACAGAACATTCACTCTCTTCCCAACATTGATAAAGATAATCATTCCCATTGTGCCTCTTCTCTAGCCATACTTTTAATAGAAACTGCAAATAAAATATTTCCACTCAAAAACAATCGGCATACAAACATTCCACCTCCACCGTGGTGGGACAAAGAGTGTACTGTTGCTATTAAAAAAAGAAAAGAAGCTGAAAGAAATTATACTTTGCACTCCACATCTAATAACTTTAATATTTTATGTAATTTAATAAAAAGTACGAGGAAATTATTTAAACAAAAAAAATGGGAAGGGTGGAAAAGATTCTGTGCTTCCATTTCACCGAATACTTCTCCGTCAGTTGTTTGGTTGAACATCCGAAGGTTTCGTTCAACATTTAAAGAACCCACTTTAAAAAATATTCCGGAGCAACTATTGGATAATTTTTTGGATAAGTTGGCACCCCCATTTGTTCCGTGCAATAACACTCTTCTTCAAATTCCTAAAGTTGTAGGTGGACTCGATGCTCCTTTTAGTCTTTCTGAGTTACAAGGTGTTTTATCATACGTCAAAGACTCTGCTCCAGGCTGTGACAATATTCCTTACTCCTTTCTTACACACCTGAGTGATAATAGTTTAGCATATCTTCTAAATCTTATTAATACCATTGTAATAAACGGTAATATTCCACATACTTGGAAACTACAAGAAGTCATTCCCATTCTGAAACCAAATAAAAATCCGCAAGACATTTCCTCCTATCGACCAATAGCTCTTTCATCAGTACTAAACCAAAATCGCTGAACATCTCGTTAAAAACCGCCTGGAATGGTTCGTTGAAAGTAAAAGCTTACTTGGTAAAAGTCAGTTCGGTTTTAGGAAAAGTAAAAGTACTATGGACAATATCGGCATCCTTACCACTGATATACGATTAGCTTTTACTTGCAATGAATCGCTTTTAGCTGCCTTTTTAGATATCTCAGCTGCATATGACAATGTAGTTTTAAGCATATTACAAAAAAAACTTATTGATTTAAATGTACCCCCACTTCTTATAAATTTCATAACTAATATTCTTACAGAACGAACTATTAGAGTTTGTCAGGATTCCGTAAATTTAAAATCAAGACTAATATGGAAGGGTCTTCCCCAAGGATCCGTATTAAGTCCTTTGTTGTATAATATCTACACTCACGACCTGGAAGATGCTATACCTAGAGATACTAACATATTGCAATATGCTGATGACTTACTTCTGTATTGTTCTGGCAAAACAATTGAAAAATTAAGTTTCTCATTAACGCGCTCTTTATCTCATCTTAAAAATTGGTTAGATGAGCATGGTTTCACTTTATCTGTATCTAAAAGCACGGTCGTTCTTTTCTCTAGAATTCGACTTTTGCCACCTTTTTCTGTTTACTATGACAATGAAATTTTACCAACTAGTAATGAAACTAAATTTTTAGGGATAATATTAGATCATAAAATGTCAGGTCTGTCTCACTGTTATTATGTTGTAGCTAAATGTGAACGAATGTTGAATATCCTAAGATGTCTGACAGGAGTTTGGTGGGGATCTTCACCATTTTCTCTAAAATTACTTTATAATTCATTAGTTAGGAGCATTTTAGATTACGGGACTTACTTTCTTGAACCATGTAGCGCACTAGGATTAAAGAAACTTGATATTATACAACCTAAGGCCCTTCGTATTGTCACTGGTGCCATGAAATCTAGTCCTATTAATGCTTTACAAGTAGAGTGTGCTGATCCTCCTTTGAAACTACGCCGTCAATTTCTTTGTGACAGATACCTCTTTAAAGCTTTCCAAATTATTAATCATCCCCTCTATGATAAATTATCTCGGCTCTCAAAACTTATACAATCATCCTCATACTGGTCTCATAAACAACTACCATGTCCAGTTTTAAGTTTTCGAAAGTTTTGTTCTTTTCAATCTCCAACCCACAGATCAGCATTCCTTCCGATTTTTACCCAAAACTTTGAAGCGTTAATCCAGGTTCCCATAGTTAATTTTAATTTAGATTTTCAAAAGAATAATTTAATTTCAAAGTATAATTTTAACTTCATGTTACTTGAAACATGGAACGATTATCATCATTTGTACTGTGATGCTTCAAAATTGTCTTCAACAAGTAACGTTGGTGTTGGAGTTTATCATCACCAGTACAACATTGTGCAAAAAGTGAAATTGCCACCAGAGACATCCGTTTTTACTGGTGAATGTTATGGCTTATATAAATCACTTGAATATATTTTAGTTATGAATTTAAAAAAAGCTTTGATAATTTCGGATTCTAAAAGCGCTCTTGAAACTTTACATAAATATCCGTTCAAAAGCAATGTATGCTATCAAATTATTGCAGACTGTCGCTCTTTACTACTGAAATGTTGCTCTAAAGGTTTTGATGTAACTTTTGTTTGGGTCCCCGGTCATTGTAATATTCCAGGTAACGAAAAATCCGATCTACTAGCGAAAGATGCGATTAATTCTGGAGATCTGTTTCCATATAAAAACTATTGTCATGATTTAATTGCTCAGGCTAAAGTATCTCTTGAATTATCGTGGCAGGAAAATTGGCAATTAAGCAGTGTAAATAAAGGAAGATTTTATAAGCATATTCAGCCTAATATCTCGTTAAAACCATGGTTTAATAAAATTAAATTGGGTAAAGTTCCTACTTCAATAATAACCAGAATGAGGCTGGGTCATACCTGTACCCCTTCTCATTTAAAAAAAATGCAAATTCTTCAAAACGATTTGTGTGAGTGTGGCACCGAAGTGGGAGACATCGATCATATATTTTTCTCTTGTCCTTTATATGATCATTCCTCCTTTTATGACTCCTTATTATCTCTCCGCATCCCTCTTCCTACCTCCATATTATTTCTTTTATGTACTAACGATACAAATATTTATCACACCTTAGCATGTTTTATAACTAAAAATAACATAAAAATATAAATATTTTATATATTACCATAATTTATTATCCTTTATCCTTTCCCATTATCCAAATACTAACTTCTATAAATATCCGAGTTCCTTTCCTAATTGTTTCCCTACCTTTTTATATCTGACATGGCTAATACTCAAGTCGGGTGAAGCCAAAAAAAAAAAGAGGTTTTCTGTAGGTTATTTATTAATGAAATGATAGGCGTCCGACATCAATAGCATGTTCTTGAATAAGTCGCTTTTGAGATAAGTATTATTATTCACTTATTTTAAGTTTGAAGTCGGTTCCTATTTTAATAGATCAGTGATTCTTAACCTTAGACCCATGGAAACATCCGAAGTGGACCGCGGAGACTTATTAAATTATTACTATATAAAAATCATTTTTTCCTATAGGGTATCGGACAACTTTCTAAAAACTGTTTTAAATTGTAGTCAGTATGCATTCCTACCAAAAATATTATTTGATGTAAATTTAACCTTAATTGTTTACCCAAAACACTGTTTAAAATTTAAATAAACCGCGTAAACGGCGACTCTGGGGACATGACGTCATAAACAAAGTTGATTTTCAGTGAAAACAATGAATTATAGTATTCAGTACGTATAGTCAAACTCATAAATAAATAAAATAACAGTAGACTGACCCTTGTAGCTTGCTTAAAATCAAATAAATCCTTAAAATCACCTTGCACTTTGCATGTTTCCCGCGCTTTTCCTAGATAAATTTACTATCAATTTACCCACAAATGACGTCATGCGCACTGATTGGTATTTCATTTGACGTCAGACAGACTACAAATATAGGAAAATTATAATTTTGTTGATTAATTTAAAAATGGAAAGAAAAGCAAAAATATTATGTAAATAATCTTTCCACCTTATGAACTTTTTAACTAAATACACACAATTATTTTTTTTATCTAATCGCTGTCCAGTACCTTATTCTGCTAATTTTTTCGTAATATTCCCATATCAATATAATCTCGACGCCTTGCATTTTTCTATTATACTATCCACCAAAAGTCCAAAATTATTGGTGCAATCTCTTCCTCACACATTGGACTTTAGGTAGATTGTGTAATCTATTGAGATACGATTATTACGTAAACCTTATGTTTGTAGGCCTGCTGGTCTAGAAATACTGGTTACCACTGATCTAGATCGTACAGAAATTGTTTTTATCCTATGCAGGTAAACTGACTCCAGCAGACATGCAGGGCGGTACATTCACTATCAGCAACGGCGGTGTGTTCGGATCACTCCTCTCCATGCCTATCATAAACTTACCACAGTCCGCCATCCTTGGCATGCACGCTATATTCCAGAGGCCTGTAGCTATTGCAGGAAAAGTAAGCTTCATTCCGTATTTCAAATTCTTACATCAAGACAATTTGAACACTTTGACAACAATAATTATTAGACTACATATGTATCTAGAGATAAAAAAAAATTTCATACCTTAGCTTCAGCTTCAAATATGGAGAGGTACTTATATAAGCTACGAAATACATTTTTAAATTTAGGGTTAAATTTAGGGTAACCTTGAATACGTAGAAGAAAACTCAATAACAGCTGTTTTCAGGGGTGCAACCGGTAACTAATAGAAAGTTAGACCGTCGCACACGAGTATTTTATTTGGCGTACATATGTTAATACTTATAAAATAATAACCTCTATTAAGGCCTATCTAATGTAGAACTTGAATAGTACTATACAGTTTTAATGTCGGTTCGATTTGTAAGAATTTTAAATTTATAAACCTAAATATTTATTTGACGTACATATGTTAATACTTATAAAATATTAAATTCTATTAGGGCCTATCTAATGTAGAACTTGAATTATACTATACAGTTTTAATGTCGTTTCGAATATGTAGGAATTTTGAATTTACAAACCTAAATAATATTGCAAAAATATAGGATATATCCTATTAATAAGACATATGTATATATATCTCTATTGGTAGCTTCAGTAATAAATTCTCTTATGCTTTCAGGTAGAAATCAGACCCATGATGTACTTAGCACTCTCTTATGACCACAGACTGATAGACGGTCGTGAGGCTGTCCTATTCTTACGGAAAGTAAAGGCAGGCGTAGAAGACCCTACATCGATCTTAGCTGGAGTATAACAAAACACGAAAGGGGGTACTTTGGCAATAATATAAGTTGTTTTTAGGTAATCAAAACAACTAGCTCATTATGAAGACACAGATTCATGTGGATCTTGAGATTTATATGAACAAGTGTCACGTATGACACATAGAAATCGTAGTGTACTTATAATGATAATTGTGCAATGTATACCTACAGTAAGCCGGTGTGTTTATTTTAATATTCGACTGAAAATAATAAATGTTAAGTGAAATTTCATTTTTATTATTGTTCCCAATAGTAACCCCAATAGCAAATATTTATTACAGCAGAGTCAGACGGCAGGGTAAAACAAATAATGGGCAGATTGATTGATAAATGATAATATACAACATTTCAAAACAACCTACGACAATGCCATAACCTAACAGAAATTTTCAGACTACCAGAAATTATTTTTGAAAATAACTTGTTTATGTGGAATAGTTTGGTGTGATTCAAGTAAAGGTTGATTTATTCATTTACATAATTTATAACGTTCTAACAAGTCAACGCAGTACAAACAGTTATTGTATTAAACATTACTTTTGAACTTCAATATTAAATTAATGATTATTAAAAATTACTAAGCAAAATTGTTGGATGAAGTTTAGAAGTCCAAATTTACAATTTTCGTATATTGATAATTTTTTTTTACTCTTCCCTCTTGGAAGAAAATAAAAATCGTGTCAATCGGTCGCTGCGTTTCGACATGAAATTAGACACAAACAAACAAATAAAAAGGCAACAGACATTCTTTCGCATTTTAATAGTTAGTACTCCTAGATAGGTAATTTTCGTAGATAGTATATAATAGCACGTAATAGATGAGCAGTATCTACTTAAGTTTAACAAAACAATGTCGGAAGTAAAAAAGAACAGACGGCAATACTGTGCAAAATATATTAAATTCGGATTCATTGGAAATCCCATAAACCCATCATCGTCTTTGTGTCTTCTATATCCAAAAACATTTTCGAATGAAGCAATGGAGCCTGCAAGACTGCAAAATCATTTGAATAAAATGCATCCAGATAAGAAAGACAAGAATATAGTATATTTTCAAGACCTAGAGAAAAAACATGATACTCAGCCTAGTGTAGCAAAACTATTTTCCACGGCTGCTAAGTAAGATGACGACGGACTTCGAGCTTCGTACAATATTTTTGTTAATTACTCAAAAAGGTAAAATACATGACATCGAAGAAGAGATAATTTTGCCAGCAATAAAGGAAGCTATACGCTTCATAAACCGACCGCAGAAATTATCCGAAAAATTCCTTTGTGCAAAGACGAATTGGTGAAACAGCTAAAACAATTGAAGGATTATTGTGCGATTACCAAATCTATTATAGATATAGATATAGAAAACAAATCTATTCTCAATTCAAGTCGATGAGTCGAGTCCACTTTACCAGCTAATGAAGCATTGTTTCTGTCTTACGTGAGGTTTATTAAAGACGAGAAAATATGTGAAAAACTATTGTTTGCTAGAAATTTAGTGACCGACACAAAAGGCGAAAGCATATTCAATACATTGGAAAAGTTTTGTAATGAGAAAGAGATGCCCTTTAAAAATATTATATCAGTTGCTACAGATGGCGCTCCGGCTATAACAGCTTGCCATTTGGTCGCTAGAAATGAATATTTCAATCACTGCAATACATCATCAAAGCAGTCTTCTTCTTCTTTTATTAATGGCTTATCTGCGCATTTCGCACAATTCTGCCAATGTCAACTGAATAAATTAATTTTTACATGTAAAATGGAAATGAAATGAATGAAAGATGGCGATGATCATAGGGCCATCAAAGCAGTCAATAAAATCCGCAACAGCTCTTTGAATGATAGATTAGTTCATCAGATTTGTGTAACTAATGACAAGGATTTTAACCGTTTATTGTTTCATACTGAAATTCGTTGGCTATCAAGAGGAAATTGTTTGAGTCGATTTTACAACCTGTTTAACTCTGTGATAGAGTTCTTGGAAACTAAAGTTACAGAATTGCAAGCTCATTATATCAAAGAATGATATAGCTTACGTGACAGACTTGTATAAATTGTTCCACGTCATGAATGACTAATTGCAAGGCGATGAACTAAATTTTATTTAAACAGAATACGTCGTTGCTGCTTTCGCAGTCAAACTGCTTCTACACAAAAAAATATGGGCAGACGTGAGTTTCACAATTCTCTGAATTTATCAAAATCTTGCAGTAAAGATTTATTTGCCTTTTGCCAACATTTGGAAACTCTCCATATTGACTTCACCGAACGATATCAGATACCTGGGGGGCTACTCTGTTTATCTACAAACGAAAATTACACAAACTTCGAATTGTTCTTACAATTGTTTTAAAATCATATGCGTCAATATTATCTATGCATCAGAAGCAGTGTCAGAGTCCTACCTCCGTTTCATTATTACTTATGGAAAAATGTGTTCCTTTAGAGTCGTATTAGGGTTTCGAAAATAAACGCATTTTCGTTTTCGGAGATACGGAGTAGGCCTTCTGACTGGGTGTTGGATCCGTTTTCAAATGTCAACACAGCAATATAACCTCAGCTGGAAGAAGAACTTAAAGAATTGACAACAAACGAGGAAATCAAGTAAAAAATGGTTACCAAGAATTTTGGCTACAAAAACCAATCAATTGTACCCTTGATTGTAGTCAATCGTTCAACGATTCTTGATAGCATTCCCATCGTCATATTTGTGTGAAGGTGGATTTAGTGCTGTGGCAGCACTGCTTACAAAAAAAAGATATCGTTTGCAGGTTACCGAACGTATGGACTTGCAACTGTTCTTGAGTAGGTATTGGAATCTGATATCAACAGACTTATTAAACAGCATCAGATTAATCCTTCACATTCATCCATCAATTATGTTTGTTTCATCACTAAAACAAAGTCGCTTTCTCTATCCCTATATCCCTATGTATGCTTAAATCTTTAAAACTACGCAACGGATTTTGGTGCGGTTTTTTTTACATAGATATGGTAATTCAAATGGAAGGTTTTTATGTATAATGCAAGACCACGCGGGTGAAGCCTCTGGCGAAAAGCTAGTTTTGAATAAAAGATATTCTGTTTGAATACTATGAAGTTTCAATAATCATATTCATTGACGGGTGTAGCCCGTCAGAGTTAACTTGAGACCTGAGCGCCGTTGTGTATAACCTAATGCGCTCAGTTCAAGTTAACTCTTGCGAGTTATAGCAAAAGTCTCGTTTAAAATTAATATTTAATCTCCGCTAATATAGCTGACAATAATGGATTAATTTAATTTGAAGTTATAGTGGTTATTATTTTTATTCTCGGGGTGGGCAGAAGATTAAATAAGTTTTGGGGACCCTTGGTGTAGACCACACGGCATGATCGCCTATAATGGCCTATGATCGACGATAATTGTCCATGATCGTCAATCGCCACCGTGTCGGTTTATTGGACAAACATCATAACGCCTCCACACAATCGTGTAGGCGGTAGGTATCACCATTTTGTAGGCGGCATGATCGCCTATAGTCACTTTATCGGTTTTTTGGACGATTATAAAAAGACGTTGTGTACGTCAAGGGAGCAGGCACACCAATGATCAAAAATATCTCGAATTCTATTGAAGCGAATGAAATGCAAGTTCGTAGTACAGATATTTTTGACATGTAATTCAAATTGATACGAATCATATTTCTAGTGTGCCTGCTACCTAGACGATTAGATAGCAGGCATAATAAGAAATTACAATATCTATTTATATTTACTCACAATTTATTGACATACATAAGTCCGTCAAATTCGTTGGTGTGCCTCAAAGATTACAATATAATACGCGTGCCTGTTACCGTGACGTACCTACACAGGAATTTTGACGTCTACACAATCGCCAATCACTTAAGTTCGTATTTGTTTAGGGTACAGTGCTGACATGTGCTATTTGGCCTGTAATCGATGCTATCTACCTAAAATGTCTTAGCCGAAGACCTATAAATATGAAACATTTTTTTATGATTGCAGAATTATACTTAAAAAGCCTTCACAAGAAGAATTTGAATTCCTAAAAGTAAATATCATAATGCATTATCCTGGGCAATTAGTACAGAAAATTAACCGAACATGGAATGTAATCAATATTGAAATTCTTTCTTAAATTATTCCTGATAGAGGAAATTATTTAGAATTTCGCGATCGGCTTACTGAGCTGTTTGACTTATTTTAAACTGTATTCAAATCTCTATAAATAATAAAAAGTAATTTCAATATTCTTTTTTATTTATACTAATCCTTTAAATATATCAATTAAATAAGAAGGGTAAAGGGAGTACGGTAATAACATCACACCGACCCAACAGTCAACCTCACCTGCTCGCGTCCAGTGGTTCGTATTGAATAACCGACGGCGACCTTCTGGCTTTGGTCGGGATGCCGTGGTGCCCCCTGCTAGACAACTGACGAGGCTCTGGCGACCGAGAATTGGCGGTGTAACCAAACAGCCCAACAGGTAACCGTTGGAAGAGGTTTTCACAAACCTTTTGACTAAATCACCCTAAAAGAGTGACATTGGCACCTTGGGAAAGTGACTCGAGAATATTCCCATTCTTTTCATGAAAATATGAGTGATGGCGAATACGATTTGTCATGCGATCCGGCTAACCCCTGGCGCTCGCAGGTACCCGGGCCTGCGAGTGTGAAGTTGGTTACCGAAAACCCCATAAGAGTAGGCGACCAGGCTCTCATGACGGTGAATACTACTGGCAACACTAGCAGAAAATTGATTCAGCAGGCATTCCATCCAAGCCTTTTCATCACCAGACCCAGGTCAAACTCATTTGGAAATACACCCAGATTTGCTAATAACCTGACGGAGGGGGGCCCTCCTGATTCGATTTCACAAGCTACTTCTGTAAGTGACGATAATAATAATCCTCCGCCTCCATGGCAAAGAGTACCCACCCAACGCAATCAAAAGCGTAAAAAATTTACTAATAGCCCACCCTATACAAAAAACATGGGTGGCAATGAGCAGAAAATCACTAATATATCCAACAGATACAGTGTACTACCTATAGATTCAATTGAAGATTATCCAGTGAATTACCAAATTCTCACTAAAAAATATATAAACCGCCACCAATTATCTTATATGGAATAGAAGATTTATCTAAACTAACAGAACTTCTAAATAAGTCTGCACCAAGTGGCAGCTATTCCTATAAAATAATCAATAGAGATCAGTTGAGAATTATGACAAAGACTGCAGAAATATGCAAAGATATGGTAGACGTCATACGTAAGAATGGACTTCTTGAGCATACGTTCACATAACAAGAAAAAAGGTACTGTAGGTTGGTCATTAAAAATCTACATCACACAACTCCAAAAACAGCCATTGATGAAGAACTAGAGAAAACAGGCAATAAAGTAAAAGGTGAAATTATAGGCGCACCGTCTAGAAAGATTAAAAAGCCCCATAAACATGTTTTTTGTAAATATAGAACCTGGGCCAAATAATCTGGAAATCGCATACCATTTATTTACAACATGAGGGTAAAAATAGGAGATCCACGAAAGACATATGAATACCACAATGTACAAGATGTCAACAATATGGACATACGAAAAATATTTGTATGCGGCCGTTTCGATGTGTTAAATATGCCGAGGGACATCGAACTATTGACTGCCCTAAGAAAGACCGAAGTACACCAGCTACGTGCACCCTATGCCTTGGTAAACACCCTACTAACTACAAGGGTTGTCAAGTGTACAAGGGAATTCGGGCGAGAAAACTGGCACAATCCGCCAACAGGAAACCCCACTCAAAACATAAAACTTAAAGAACGCAACACAACCCTCTTCCAAGCAGATGATTTTCCACCATAAAAACCAAATAATTTTGCAAGTCAGCGACTACAAAATTGTCCTACTCCAGAGCCAAATAATACTGGATATTAGGTGAAAATAGAGAGGATAGACAATCTTAGCCAACAAGCTCATTAGAGCAAATAATCATAAAACAATCAGAGAAAACAGATCTTCTCATACAATAATTAAGTACCCTAATGGGGCTACTAACGACAATAATAGCCCAACGTAAAAAATGAAGTTCCTTTACATGGAAACATGGAATATCAATGGCTTGTCAATCAATCAATCTCCTTATAAGCAAGAAGTAGAATTATTCATTAATTACAATATACAAAAGTGGAGTCATGTCTGGGTGTTTCTTCCGATCATACATCAGTTATATGTACACTGAGCACCACGATAATATGGAAAGATTTTAATGAAAAATTCTACAATAGCAAAACAGACTGGAGGTCTTTCCAGGACTACATACAGGGAAATGCAGATCTAAATATGCCGTTGAAAATTGAGGAGGACATTGAAAATGCTGCCTGGTGTACTACCAATATTATTCAAGTACAATCGTCGTGCACGCGCTCATAGTTTTCGAGCCATTTCGTTGCAAAGCGTGCATCCCTTTCTTACGCGCGAAATGCGTGAAGGCTGAATTATGTATACGTTGTAATTTCAGTCTGACATGTCGAAAATGTCAGAAGAGTGCCTTATTTTATTCCTTGCATTTTTTAACACTGACTGGAAAAATAAACCACAGCGAGGCTCCAAGTACGCGGGGTCCGTAGCATTTGTTACTTTTGCTTCGTGGCTTACCCGGCCCTGAATATAATATATATTTACAGTTAAAAAAAAACATCTTTAGAAATCTCTTCATACGCATGTAACCACCATGTAACGGACATACTTAAAAAAAAAAGAAAAATATCATAATATAAAAACAGGCTTCACTGAACGGAGAGGGAGGGGATAGAGGAAGGGTCTATAAGTAGTTTCTGTCCAGGTTATTTATTGTAGTGTAGTACTTATTCAGATTATTTCGCAAGAAAAATAAACACAAGGAATAACGTATATTTAGTGAATCTTTTATTTTATAGGTAGTTAATATTTACAAGGTACAAACTAGAAAAATTACGAATATAACCGTAACTAAATATAAGGTGAGATTTAATCTAGAACACCCAGGTAGAAATTTATAAAATCATCTCCTGCTGTATGCTTAATGGAATTTTCCATATGTACAGACTTCTATCTTTGTATCCAGCAATTATCTGAAATAAACACAAGAGTATTATTTATACAGGGTCATTTGTAGAGCACCAGCAACTTCAAACTAGGAAGGTTACATATTAAAAATTATAAATAATAACGCTTGATCAATGATACTAGATAATTGTTTATTTTTCGTTTTCATTTCTTTGTGTCACTTTAGGCACTCACCCGTGTATCGAGGACCGCTAGCGACAGCAGCATCAGTCCGGGACCTCTAAGCTGCGCTATCGGTTTGGATTCGCTTTCGCGGTATACGTAGACGCAGCCGTCGTAGCAGCCCGCGAATAACAGACCGCCCGCTGATCGCAGGCACACCGCACCCTTGCCCCCCTCATGAGCACCCACGTGACCGCCGCTCTGACACATTAATTTATTACATTTAAAATGCAATTATAGTGTAATCATTTTTGAAAATTTATAAATAGCGCTAGTGTTGTAATTTGATGATTTATCATTGAAAGATATTTATATGTATATTAGGCGACTAGCCCTATAATGGAATTGAATGGCGCCATTCAATTAAAGGGCTAGTCGCCCATTTGGTCGGCTGATTGTCCCACTTGGCTGCGACATATACATAATATTAGACAAGATGTGCGGTCCTAAAATTATAATCAATCTACCAACTAGCACTATTATTTACTAACGATAATTGAAAAATTATGTTGTGTGCAATATCAAAATAAAAAACACTATTCCATTCATAATTTTCATTAGCTCTTTTACATCCCTATTGCAGGGCTCAGACCTTCCTTATGGATGGTCAAAAAGGATGAGCCATCATCTTCCACGCCAGCGCAATGCGGATTGGAAAGTATGCAACCGGTGCCAACGGCTTAACGTGCCTTCCGAAGCACAGAGTAACTTGTGAAAATATATTTTAGTCACCCATCCCATGATCTACCCTTGCAAGTTTCTTAACTACAACAATCGCGGGCCGCGGCGCTTATAAGTTACTTCACCGAGTTATTTCATTACGTTGTTATATTATAAATCATAGAAACATAAATAATAATAAATGTCAAAACCATGTACAGAAAAATTCTCATAGATGAACAGCAACAGGTTGAATGAGATGATTTGTATGAAACAGAAGGTGGATTTTAACACTCGGAAAATTCGCAGGACTAGATAGCTGACATGATACATAAAATCAATATAACGTTTGATCTACGAGTTTTAACATGACATAAACGAATAATTTGAGCACAAATGAATTTTAAGTATTTATTATACTGACATCGACATATTAGTGTTTCGCATACAGTATTTACAATCAAACAGTAAATCTAATAAAATTTTACTTTTATATGAAAGTTAACTAGTCAAAAATAACCATTATACTTACAGCATAATCAAAGACGTGTATCTGATGGCTGCTAGTCCCACAGTATATCTTGCCGTCTTCATAAAGCAGCGTGTAGACAGTCATCTTGGGCCCCTGCAGTGATCGCAACAGGAGTCCAGTCTGTGCGTCCTTTATAGTGACATCTTCAGAACGAGCCGCCACTAACAACACCTTCCGAGGACCTTCTTTCATTGCACGCAGAGCCAGTATTGATTGGTCAGAGAATTTCACAGTACTGACTGGTATCAGCATGTTGTTCTGGAATAAGTGGTAAAATGCTGTTACTTTTTATCATATGGAAAATAAGTTACATTTAAATTCCTTATTAATAGATTACACGTTATACAAAACTAAATTTCATCCCGAATTTCATTTTATACCTTAATCTATTGACTGTAGAGTTAGAAATCTACTGCGGGAATTATAGATGTACTTGCTGAATGTACAGTTAACGAGTGTCACTTTAAATTCTTTAGACTGCTTTCGTATATTGACGTGTTAGTAGCATTCATCATCAACTCTTTAACGTCCTCACTGCAGGGGCTACGCCTTCCTTATGGATGGTTAAGGAAGATGCGCCATGACCCTTCACGCTAACCCAATACAGATTGTAGGGTATTGACAACTGCAAATGCAAATGCCCTTCCGGAGCACGGAATAGTTCAAGACAATAGTTTTTGGTAACCCATCACGTGACCAACCTTTGCGAAAGTTGCTTAACGACAACGATCATGGGCCGCGGCGCTTATCCACAATGCCATCGAGCTACATCAGGATGAGCATATGTAGTAGCATTACTGTAGCACATAAATCGTGCGGCACACATATTTAAAATATCTTATCGTTAAATGTTAAAGGTCATTTTAAACTCAAAAAAATGCAATTTAAGATTATACAAGAAATATGTTCTTACCTTGCATTCAAATTGTAAGACAAATCCTGTCCTCGTACCAACAAATATGGTATCCCAAGCACGATCCATTGTTTGTATTGGACTAAGAACATTGCACTCTGGCCCTTTTTCCAATCCTGTCTATAAATAAGCGAAAAAGGTTAATAGTAGCTAAGTTCCCCCTATAACCTAAATAATTCTATTAATTGAACGTCATACTGGATCCAATCACGCTATACATAATTAACTTATATAATTTTCACATAAATATAAAACATTATAGGCAAAAGGCTCACTTAAGTTATATAAAAGTGATTTTAAATAATAAGGGTTTTGCAAGTTTTTCAAGATGGAAGTTAGTAGCAAATTTAGATATTATTTTATATTCTATTAATATAAATACATTGCTATGTGAGTTAAATAATTAAGGTCTTTTTTACACTATAAATAACATACTTACTTCTAAATCGTAGTATCTTATCCTGGAGTCAAGAGAACCTGTGTATACAGTAGTACCATACTTCTCCTTCACAATAGTAAGACAAGTGACTGCTAAGTTGGAGCCTCTCAATGTAGCGAGGAGTTGGCCATCTGCGCCGAAATGATACACATTGCCGTCAAGACATGCCGCAATGAAGTTATTCTCAACACACTGGAAATGAGATGGATACATATTAATAAATTAACTATTTATCAATGGCCTTTGAGAAGATCATTGAGACCTTTAGACTACAAAGATGAATTGAAAAACATGATTTATTCTTTGCATAAAATACTATCCTGCCACTTAATTTTCAGATAAACTCATTAGTTTCCAATTGCCAAACAGACAATTGCAATAAAGTTTATATTCTTAAGATCATAAACAATTTTTGAGTATTGTGTAGTTAATTAAATGAAGAGCAACCAAACACACTGATTGAAATAAATATATGTGAAATGGTTATTTTATTCTGTTGTAAATCTTGAAAAATAAATATCAAAATTGAACTCTTATATTTCTACAGATATAATCTTCGATCAGAGAAACAATATTGTTAAAAGTTCTTACTTCTATTGCAAGTACAGCATCAGCATGTCCAGTAACGACAATAGAGTCACGTCGCAAGGTCTCGTCTGTAGAATAATCATACATTCTGCAAATATTTTCTACTTGATTGCAGTTATTTTGCAGAGGTTCATGTAATTGGCTGTTGTCCAAAATTATCTCTTCAGTAACTGATACTTCAGTTCTCTCCACATCTTTGTCTTCACTTGACTTCACCTCACAATTGTCACCAATCACTATGTCCTCTGATACATCTAACATATCAAACTGTAAATCATTAGCAACAACAATATTGGCCTCATCTATTGGGATTTCTTCAATTATATCCACCGAAATTGGAGACTTTTCATTTTGTATGTCAGTGTTTTCATACATTTGTTTATAATACTTACTTAAATCACTACGTATTAACACAACAGAACACTCTTTTAGTTTGTAGTTAGGTAAACAGACACTAGGTTTAATGATTTTAGATTTTTTAACCGCTTTTTTCTTTGGTACATTTTGCACTCTCTTTTGCTTTTTACTTTTGACAGGTGTAGTTTCTAAATCATCCAAAGATATTATATCTTCCAATGGTCTGTCGTCAGTTATAATTTGTTCTAGAAGGGAAATATTGGGTGTAGTTGCTTTCTTAGGTTTTCTTCTAGTAGTAGGACTGGATGAACTGGCACGTGAATCATCTAAAGCTTTTTGTCGTTTATTTTTCTTTTCTTGTTTACTATTATAATTCTGATCTTGTATCGTTTCTAAAGCTATTTGTTCAAGTTCTTCAACTGGAATATTTGTAAAATCTTCAACAATGTCATCACCTGTAATTACTTCGACTTCATTAACATTATCCCCTTTAGTGTCATCATCATCATCATCATCAGGTGTCACATTTACAACAGTCATCCCTAATGACTGAATAGTACTAGGGCATGGATCACTGGATTCTATAGAATTGTATAATTTAAATTTTTCTTGTAATAGTACCTGTATCTCCAAGTCAATTTCTTTCATTCTTTCAAATGTATCAGTGGCTTTAATGCCTGATTTTTCAAATCTTACTGGATCAGTTTGAATTCCTCTACTAAGCATCCTTTTCTTCTCAGTCTGAGAAAATCTTGTAGTTTGAATTTTATTTGGTGATTTCAGTGATTGGCTTGTTTGAATCTCCTTTGAGTGCATTTTTCGGCAAACTTGTGTTGATATATGTCTTTTGGTAATTTTTCTGTTAAATGTTATGGGTGCTTTTGGTTTACTTATTTCTACATTTTTTACTGGAGTATTTGTATTTCTATGAGTTTGATGTAATTGGGTAACTTTGCGTGGTTGTTCCATGAACATATCAATAGTTTGAAGTTTAGTTTTAGATTCAGTTTTATTGCTCTGAGAACTGTCATTAATATTCTCTTTAGGACTTACTATGGAATGACTAGAGGAAACTGAACGCTGCCTTTTCTTCTTATCACCCTCATTTTCACTTGTCTTCTGAGTTTCTTTTCTTTTGACATATTTTTGAGAATATGGTTTATCAGATTCAACATGTTTTATTTCTTTAGGCACCTCCTTGGGAGTATCATTTTTAGAGAAAAATAAATTAAAAACAGATTTAGTTGCTTCTTTACATTTTTCAGTATCACTAGACGCACAATCGTTAACATTAATTATTATGTTTTTATTTAAAATTTGTTTTCCTGAATCAGATTGATTACTGTCACTTTTTTTGCGTTTTTCTTTCCGATGAGATGGTTTCTGATCTATAGATCTTTTTCGTGCATTTGAAGGTAAGTCTTTAGTGGTTATATTTATATTTTTTATTTTTTCTATAACTCTGTTTTCATTATTTGAATTTACATTGTACTCCCGCTTTACATTTATATTGAGTGAATTTCCATGATCATTGTCATTAGTGTAACTTTTTGTTGCTTTTTCTTGAACAGGTTTGCAAGATGGTATATTCTTTTCCTCACTTTTGGCTTTTACGGTGCTTACTGAAGGTAATTTCAGAGGTGATTTAGCAATAGTATGCAGTTGACTATCAATTTCTTGTTTTATATTGTTTGCATCTAGCTGTGGTATTATTGGCTGACTGTTCACCTCTTGCTCTTTGTTTGGAGATTTATTTTCATAATTTGTATTATTTAGTTCATTATTAATTTGTTGTGGGCTGGAAATACCATATGTTTCAATGAAATTATGATCAACAGCAACATGATATTGTTTATCTAGTTCAGCAAAAGGGTCTTCGTCTTCTGATAACTGTTCAGTATTTGTATCAAATAGTGGTATTGTTTGTTCTCTTTCATTTGGTTTATTTTCCAAACTTCTTGAATGACGCCTCTCATTGGATAATGAATTAACCTGTTGACATGAGCTTCCTTCAATACTGGTTCTCAATGGTTTAAGAGTCTCAGAACTGATATTTAGTTCTGAATGTTCAAAACTTATTCTAGTTGGGCGTCTTTCAAAGAGAGGTGTTGGTTTAGGTTTTTCTTGTTTAATATTTTCAAAATCTATATAACTATCAACAAAATTTTCATTATCAAAGTGTTCATAAACAGTTTGTGGTGACTGGATTTGTTCATAGTAACTGTCTTGAGAGAAATTTTCATATTGATATGATTCATAGTTTTCAAACTCACTTACTGCTTCACAGCTTTTTTGATTTTCTGGCATTTGGAACTCTAACTCATTTAATTGCAAAACTTTACTAAGCTCAGCCAAAACAAGAGGTTTTATATCTTCTAATAGTATAGTATCTTGGGGGTCCAAAACACCCTGCATTTGTTTCATAAAAGTATCTTCATAAATAGTATTATTGTCATTATGGACAAATTCTTCAGAAGTACATAGAGACTTTTCAGCCACTGACCTCAAATGTCTGCTTAAACTATTTTGTGACTCAGTAATAAAACTGTTTAGTGCATATTCAAATTTTGAGGATGAACTAGGATTATCCATTAATTTATGAATTTTGTCTTTATCCATTTTAAAAAGTTCATGCACAATTTTATTTTTCATTTTGTCACAGTTTGCATCAATATTGTGTTTATGCTTTGTTATCTTTTTCCTCACAGGTTGGTTTTGTTGAATATTTTGACAATTGTTTGACATAGTAATTGTGACTCGTTCATCTATATCTTTACTGCCAGTACTTTGTTCTTCAGGGGTTTGTTGGACCTCATCACGGTTTTGTAGTCTTTTACGAATGATGTCAACAGTATCGTCTATTGATCTACTGAAGCTATTGGAATTATCTAATGTGGAGCTTGCATTACCACCATAATGATCGGAAGATGGTGGTCTATGTCCAGAATATTCAAGTACAGGTATTTTATTATTTTCTGAAATATCATGCCTGTAAGGTTGGTGTTTATTTCTATCATCAAAGTGCTGTCTTCTACTATCTGGTGGATTCAGCCATGGTGATATATTATGGTGACCAAATGGTACTTGATTTATTGGCTGATTTATTTGCCTATCATCAATATCACCCATACTGTTTATGTGCCAGTTGTCATTGTTGGTATTATCATGATAAAATTTATCTTGGCTTTTATTTTGATCTTTACTTTCATGTCGCATATGATCAAGTAAAGGAAATATAGCTCTACCTCCTTGATGTTGATATCTATCTTGGTTGCTAGATCGATACTGATTGCTTAGTCGAGAATCATTTCTATATTTATTCCTGTCATGATGACTCGGTGGTAGAGTGGAAAGCAATCCAGGGCGGTTATTAAATGTACCTCTGTGTGGCCGAGAGCCTGGCTGAGGGAACCTGTAATAATAACCAATAAAATATCGTTTTTAAACTATTATTTGTCAATTTTTATACATATAATTAGAACGTGTATTCTATATTAAATTATTCACAGAAAATATTTCTTTGTATAGGTAGGTGTATAAAAAAAACTAGGCGCGCAAAATGATCCAATGTAGTCTGATCAGCATTTAAAAAATAAGTAAAGAAAATACAGTTACCTAGATGATTCCTGTAAAGGATAGCTCCTATTAGACCTAAATTGAGACGGTCCACCACCTCTTGGCTTATAATGCCTTGGATTTTCATTTCGCCAACCACCAATGCCTGCATGACCTCGTCTCATTATGATGATTGATTACTTCATAATAGTCAGAAATACCGTTAGATAAGATTTTCGTTAATCAACAGAATAAGTAAATATTTTTCTTGATGAAATATAAAATGATTTCCAACACTTTAAACACAATTTTCACAAATTTCGAGATTGTATTTGTTAAGTATATAATAAACAGTCGGCCATAGTTTATTTTTGACGGTTTATGACAGTTTTTCTTTTAATGTTTTAGTTTTATGATTGGGAATGCGAAAAGATCTATATCCATGCGACCATATTTCAGTATCATCAAAATTATTTTAGTTGCAATATCTACAACGAAATAAATATATATATATAATTAAACAGCATCATCAGTATCAACTTCTGCTATATACAAGGTTAATGAGGAAGCATTTTAAGAAAAAAGAAAGCACTAAAAAAGCGCCTCACTAGATGGCGACTCTAGCAAAAGTTGAATTTTGAAGGAAACGAATGGACCAAAGATAGTCATTTCCGTTCCTTTTAACTAACTTATTAAAAAACTGAAATTTGCAAAGTTTGAATCTTAGACATTAATACAAATACGAAAAATTACAAATAGAATATAAGTTGTTTATTGAGTTTTGGAAATTAATTTCTTTTTATAAATGAAAGAAAACTGGAAGGGTTTTCATGGCAAAACCAAGAAAGTACTGTAGCGTCTTTTAGTTTGATGTCGGGAACTAATGTTTTTTTTAAATACTTCCTGATTAAAAACAAAACATGAAGAAAGAACGTATTCACTCATAATTTATATATTTCAAAAAAGATTACACGAAAAGCCGTCCATACGGTAGATGGATTTGGTCGGTTCATGTGTGAATTTGTTGGTCAGGTAGTCGTACATGTCATTCACATTGGTTGTCAACCAAGCTTCCGACCAAGGTGATCTTAGTCAGACCTAGTTCCAACCGGTAAAGTTGTCATGCTGTAGAAACTAATAACCAACAAATATTTTAATAATATATAATGATATTTTAATACCAAATAATCACAATTTATGGAGGTGTGAAGTCGTGTATTGTGATTTATTTTAATGAAATTTTGATATACTATATATAAAACATATAAAAAGAAGACGTATTATAAGAGCGTTTTACTTCAAAAAATTTCGACATTAGGGGTTAATGAGGAAGTATTTAAAAAATTAAAAATTAGTTCTTGAAATCAAACTAGATGTCACTAGCAATGTTTGGATCTTGTCTATGATATTCATTCAAATTTTGTTTCTGACGTAATAAAAGTATATTGACTATCGAAAATTAATAAATATGACATCGTTTCGTATTTATTATCTTACTTTCAAATTTATTTTATTTTATTTGAATCGTAAGCTTAAGTTTTTTATTATGTTACGTGTAAAAGAACGATGTTTAGTTTATATGTCCACATTAGTGATGAACCAACTAATGGTTGCTCATAACTTCAATTGACCCGATTCATCCGACTTCAGGTTTGGAATGAAGAACATAAAGCGGAGCGCTGAATTCAGCTTATTTTTTTAAGTGTCATATTTCCATATGTGCTATTATGCATCTACACGTCGAATTATGTTAATATAAATGTCAAAATCAATTCAGTCTAGCCTGGTACATAGCACTTGTGAAAGTCGAAAACTTTGCCAATGGTTCGAAAAACTAAGGAGAAAACTAAAAAACTAAGATCTCCCATCTTGTACTGAGAAGAACCGGCAAGAAAAACAGCAAGAGCTGCTTTTTTCTCCCTGTATCAGCTCACACAGAGAAGTCTTATTGGAATGTGGCATAATTAGACTATGAAGTCACTTTCCATTATTATATGAGAAATCCTACATACTTACTTACATACTAATACTTATTGACAAATCAATATACAATATTCAGGCACCAGTTGACGAGCTTGACACATGAGTCAGCTATCGTTCCTCTCTTACGGCGGGTATGTGCTTTTTGGTTCTTACAATAATAGATTGACTTACTACTCACCCTACTCTAGAAATCAATTTAATTGAAATATATTACTTATTAAGTACCTAGAGTTTTCATGCTCTCTTAAAAATCTTTGCAGTGGTATCGTGTGCGTCGGGTCGGGTCCCTCAGATATAGATATATTCGACCTTACAGAACCAAACAATATTTCATAACGAAAATAATAATGTTTTCAAACTTCAAAAATTGATATAACAGGCCATGAGATAGATATATCAAAATAATTTCAAAGATAAAATAATGTAGTTATTATACACTCTGAAATAGATTCTTTCAAAAAATATCGAATATGTATTGATAATTTTATTCGATACTAGTATTGATGTGAATACTTACTTGTTTAAACCAATATAATAAATAGGAAAGATTTGTTTAAAATATAAATATAAGATTAAAAAAGAACTACGAGAAGCTACTTATTATGATATAGGCTATAATTTACGTAGGTGAATTCCTGGAAAAACCGTTGGTTTACAAAATAGAAGTTTCAAATAAAGCATGGCAAACTATGGTGTTTTTTATTCATTTACTATATCAATCTCTATAATTTATCTTTGTAAGTGGCCTCAATGAAAGATAAAATGGATTAGTAAAATTCATAGCTGTAAAATTGATATCTTTCCAAGTAGCATAAAACTTTTAAAAATTGTGATGTAACATTTAAAATCAGAAGATATATGCAACGGTAATTATATGACTAGAAACACTTCTTATAAATAAAAAAGTATAACATCAGCGTACAAATGTACGTCAAAAATATATACATTAAATAATTAATAATCATGCTATAATATAGCCACTTAAATCAAAAATCATTAAATGCATTAAAAAATTAAAACATATCTATTTCTTTTTCAATATTTAGGAGGCAATTCACAATTTAAGCAAAATTTTTTGTTCAATAAGACAAAAATAAATGTTGTGACGAGTCAAGTATGAAGTATTTAAAAAATAAAAATTGGTTCTTGAAATCATACTAGATGTCACTAGCGATGTCTGGATATTGTCTATGATATTCATTAAAATTTTGTTTCTGACGTAATAAAAGTAAAAATGACATTGTTTCGTGTTTCTTATAACATCCAACTTTCAAATTAATTTTAATTTATTTGAATCGTAAGTTTAAGTTATTTATTATGTTACGTCTAAAGGAACGATGTTTGGTTTATACGTCATCATTAGTGATGAGACAACTTATAGTTTGCTCGTAACTTTCATCCGAATTCAGGTTTAGATTATAGAACAAAAAGCGGAGCGCGGAATTCAGCTTGTATTTGTATGGGTCATTATGCATCCACATGTCGAATGATATTAATATAAATATCAAAATCAATTTAATCTAGGCTGTTACATAGTACTGGTGAAAGTTGAAAACTATGCCAATGGTTCGCAAAACTATAGGGAGTGACCTTGTACTGAAAAGAACCAGCAAGAAACTCGGCGAGAGCTGCTTTTTCCTCTCTGTTTAATTTCATACAGAGAAGTCTTATTAGAATGTGAGTTTATTAGATTATGACGTCTATTTCCATTACAATATCAGAAATAATAAGACTTATATTTTTCAATTACTGATTAATATGCCGTTTGCCAAGTCATACATATTCATTGACAAATCAATAAACAATATTCATAATAAAAGAAAATGAACGAAATAAGTAGTCCAGTGCAGACTGGCAGCACCTGTTGACGAACTTGACGCATGAGCCAGCCATCGCTTCGCTCGAGTATATTTGAGGGAACGTAATGACCCGCCGCACACAACACCACCCTAGTGATTTTTAAGATAGCGTGACTACTCTAAGTAGTTAAGAAATAATATATTTCAATAAAACTGATTTCTAGAGTAGGCTGAGTAGGATGTCAAACTAATATTCTAAGAACTAAAAAAAGCATTTACCCACCGTACTGTAAGGTATTTTGATATTTAGATTAACAGTTTGTAGGTAAGATGTAAATCATGCTCCATTCTATAATAAACCAGTCAGTTCTCGACCTTGTCGTTTTACTTACGTCTCCCGACACGACACTGGCGACGAGGATGGGATTAAAAAAAAAGCAATTAATTTACCGCGTCGTATATTGTTTGCATCACTGTATTCGACAAATAATTAAGATGCCTATCGGAAAAATAGAACCGTTCGATTTAAACTCTAAACAGTGGCCGGCATACGTTCGACGCGTAAAACAATTTATTTTGTTGAACGAAATAAAAGACGAATTAACAGTGTCAACTTTAATCACGGTGGTAGGAGACGCGGCCTATACGTTGATGTGCGATCTTTGTTCTCCACAACATCCAGAAGAAAAAGAATTTGACGAATTAGTCAATTTAATGAGCGAACACCTCGAGCCACAACGGTCCGAGATAGCTGAGAGACACGTATTTCGTTTGAGAAGACAGCGACCGGGCGAATCACTCACGGAGTATTTACAACACTTAAAACACCTCGCCACAACGTGTAATTTTGGCTTGAGATTAGAAGAAAACCTCCGAGATCAATTTGTTTCTGGATTGGCGAACGACGTAATGAGATCGCGAATATTTGCGGAAAAGAACATCGACTATAAAAAGGCGATCGAACTGGCTCTAGCGCTGGAGGCTGCAGACAGGCATGCGGAGTTGAGCGCGGCCGCCACTTCCACTACGGCGAGGATCAGCAGCGCACAGGCGGTGCGGGAAGTCGCACAATCCCAACCGGTGCCGTTATAGTAATTATAATTGTGATAAGTGCAATCGACGCGGCCATTTAAAAGTGATGTGTGGTCAGGTTCAAAACTATTATCAAAGTGTTCGACAAAATTTTATGAGTGATTCTGAGGATGAATTTTACAATATACAAACATCTGTTATAGGTAACAAACCTTATTATATTCAGTTGGTGATTGAAGGACAATCAGTCGAATTAGAAATAGACACAGGTAGCCGAATTTCGGCTATAAGGAATTTTATAAACAGAGATTTAGCCATAAGTGTGTAAAAGTGGATAATATTATTTTACATAGTTACGCCGGGGCACGAATCGATACTATCGGATATATACTTGTGGAGGTGGTATTGAATAAGATTCAAGTAAATAATTTATCTTTATACGTGATTAAAGGCGGAGGTCGACCACTCCTAGGCCGTGATTGGCTAAGAGCCTTAAAAATTTCACAAATAAATTTAAATTCATTAGTACTCGAAGATCGAATCGTGACCCGATTACGCGATGAATTTCCAGAGGTATTTATGGATAAGCTAGGAACCTGTAAAAAAGCTTTGCACTTGCAACTCGTAGATGACGAATGTGTGTATGTGCGCGCGCGGCCCGTGCCGCTGGCGCTGCGTGAGCGCGTGGAGCGAGAGCTCGCGCGACTCGAGCGCGACGGGTCCATATACCGCGTGGAACACTCCGACTATGGCACGCCAATAGTACCGGTCATTAAAAGCAACGGGGATATACGAATTTGTGGTGGTTATAAAATCATC